TGTTTTGATTTGCTTCCCCCAGGAGGCTTACTGATCTCAAAAGGATGGCTATTTCAGTTTTGGAGCAAATGAGAAAATATAAGATTGCTAAAATGACTATAATAAAAGTAGTCAGATTTTTACTGCTTAAAAGCAATCACTTGCTGGCCAAGGATCACAATTCATATTGGATGGGGCAAGGGTCACAGTGAATGGAAGTCAAATCACACCCTTGAGTGGGGCTGTACTACAATGAGCTTTTTTTTAAAAAAAAAAATAGCATAATGGCAGAATACAGGCATCAATCAATCCTCAAGCTTACGACCACAAATGAGCCCCAAATTTATCTTGCTAAGTGAAATATTTGTTAAGTGAATTTTGTCCCATTTTACGACATTGCTTGCCATAGTTGTTACGTGAATCACTCCAGTCGTTAAATTAGTTATACAGTTGTTAAATGAGTCTGGCTTCCCCCATTGGCTTTGCTTGTCAAAAGGTTGCAAAAGGTGATTGCATGACCCCGGGACACTTCAACCGCCATAAATATGAATTAATTGCCAAGCATTTGAATTTTGATCACCTGACCATGGGAATGCTACAATGGCTGTAAGTGTGAACAATGTCACTTTTTTCAGTGCCGTTGTAACTTTGAACACTCACTAAATGAACTGTTGTAAGTCGAGGACTATCTGTACTACTGTCACTTTCTCTTTTTTTTTTTTAAGTTTTATTGTTTTAATTAAACAAAAACACACAAAAAAGAATAATCTTTCTTTACATCTTGTAGAAAGCGTGTCGATTGCTTACAAATACATTTCATGCATTTCTTCCACAATCATTACATATACTTCATTCAAATTGAATTGTACATTTTAAAATTTATGTATTTTACTATCACTGTACCACAATTCTCATTTGGTTACAATTATTTAAACATACTTTTATCTAAAATCATTTGTATTTAAAGACACAACCACCTACTGGCATACATTCGCAATCTCAATAAACCTCCAATGACTTTACACCTTTATAACATATTCTAAAACAAAGTCAGTTAGTAGGATATCTAAGCATTCCCTCCCCTTCCCCCCCCCCCAAACTCACAAATTAAAGCTTATGCCCAATTTGCTTTTACTGGTACAACACACATGTATATATCATTAAACATTATCAATTAACATTTCCTTGTTATTATTGTAGTTAACTAAAAATTATTTATTATTTATATCACCTCTCCTCTCATCAGGCCCAAAAGAGATTATACCTTTATAGAAAGCTCTAAACAAGAATTTATTAATAATATTTATAGGACTTTTCCCTAAGTCCCAAATTACTACTGTCACTTTCTAGCAGTAATGGTTATTGTGGCTTCTGGGAGGTTCAGTCCAGTGGTGGGTTGCCAATATTTTTATTACCGGTTTGGGCGTGGTCCCACATGTGCTTGGGTGTGCTCGCAACACTTCTGCGCATGCGCAGAAGTAGGTGGGTATAGCCTCCTGCCGTCATTACTACCGGTTCGTCCGAACTGGGAGCAACCCACCTCTGGTTCAGTCCTGGGCTTAAAGGGCGTCAGTAGCCTTGGCTGACAGGGTACAGATTCTCCTGCTTGAGCAGGAAGCTGGACTAGAAGACCTCCAAGGTCCCTTCCAGCTGTATTCTATTCTATTTGGTTTTCCATCCCAGAGGTGGCATTTTACCGGTTCGGACCGAATCGCCCGAACCGGTAGCGGAAATAGCAGGTGGCTCCTCCTATCCGTGTATGGGTCTGTGGCATCCCATTTAGACCCTTTTTTCATCAAAAGCGCATGTGCAGAGGTGGCTCGTGCGCTTACATTTGTGAACTGGTAGGAAAGGTAATTGTATATCACTCCTGGTCCATCCCTAACTTACAGGGAGACAGAGATTGTACAATGCTGGTGCTTGAAATACTTATGAGTTTAAGTTTTTAAAATTTTTCACATTTGTTTTGAAGCCCAACATAGGTCAACTTGGCATTCCTCATGGGCCTTCCGGGGAGAAGGTAGCTGTAGTAACTGTGGATGACTGTGATACCGCAGTGGCTGTGCGCTTTGGAAGTCTGATTGGAAACTACTCCTGCGCTGCTCAGGGAACACAGTCCGGCTCCAAAAAGTAAGATGTTGATGTTTTTTGTGAATGAATATGCAACAGAATTAATCTGGCTAACAGAGTCTTCATTACTTTTTTTTTTTTAGGTATGCCTGGAATTGATTATTGTCAGATGTAAAGTCATTTTCATATCTGTTTGTATTTAATTAAACTTTACCTTTGTGCGTTAAGGACAAAATGGTTGAGTTCAGAGAATAATCATGTAGAAATCTTTGCTAAATTGCCCCTCCTTGTGGCAAATTACCTGTTGCTGCAGATGTTTCTATTTCTTAAGCATCCTTTAATAGTCTTATAGGATAGAAAAAATCAATTTGAAGAAGAAGATGAAAAGTAAGTAAAGCCAAGTATTCACACTTTCCTTCAAAAATGTTTACTCAGGTGAGGAACGTTGTTGTTGTTGTTAGTTGCAAAGTCATGTCTGACCCATCGCGACCCCATGGACAACATTCCTCCAGGCCTTCCTGTCCTCTGTCATCCTCTGGAGTCCATTCAAACTCACGCCTACTGCTTTGGTGACTCCATCCAGCCACCTCATTCTCTGTTGTCCCCTTCTTTTGCCTTCAATCTTTCCCAGCATTAGGTTCTTCTCCACTGAGTCCTTCCTTCTCATTAGGTAGCCAAAGTATTTGAGTTTCATCTTCAGGATCTGGCCTTCTAAAGAGCAGTCAGGTTGATCTCCTTTAGGACTGACCGGTTTGATCGCCTTGTAGTCCAAGGGACTCGCAGGAGTCTTCTCCAGCACCATAGTTCAAAAGTCTCAATTCTTTGGCGCTCAGCCTTTCTTATGATCCAACTTTGAGGAAGGAGAGTATAAAAGTGAAGGAAAGACAAATGGAGGAAGAAACACATTTGATCAGTTTTCTTCTCTGGTCTTTAAGCCCATTGAATTAAAAAGCTAAAATCCAGAATCCTGAGTTTTTCCTTAGAATGAATTTATATATTTCAGGTAATTGGAAAAGATTCCTGAAAATGTTTGTGTCGTTGAGGGCTTTTAATGAGTTAATCCTGCTTGGAATATTTTCAGTTTAGCTTTCAATAGGTTTCTCAGATTAAATCTACATTTATAAATCAGTGTAAGTTTGAATAAATGCAGCATCTTAATTATGTAAAAAAAATTGGTTTTGCTATGTCTGTTGATTTGAATGCATGATGAAACTATTCGGATGAAATTTAGATGTTGGATTTACATATTCCTTTGTAATCATAAAATGTATTGGGCAACATCATCTCCCTAAGTATTTATGTTACGGAGGATTGCTATAAATGTTATCTATATCAAGTTTCTTCTCCAGCAACAATCTGATATATAAAAATTGCAATGCTTTGTAATTGTAATACTAAAAGCATGAGAAAATGTTCTTACCATTTGTGGCAAAACCTTTTATTGGTTTAAAAAAAGAAAAAAAAACCCTGAAAATAGTTGATTATTGGTTGTAAGTAACATTTATATCATTTTAATACGATCCATTAGAGATAGTCCTCATTTGCCAACCACAATTGGGGCTGGCACCTCTGTTACTAAGTGATAAATCATGTGACTATGCTGGATCAACAGTATCACTTCTACTTCTGTTGTTAAGTGAATCACCCAGGGTCATTAAGCGAAATAATATATGACTGCAACTTGCAATTTTACTGCTGGCATTTCCATTGATTGTCAGAAACTGTCAGGTAAGCAATCAAATATGATTACATGACAGCAGGGATTCATCACAAACCTGGTTTTTTCCCCCCAACTGTCATAATTTTTAATAGTGCCTAAACAAAGCTTTTGGTAAGCAAGGATTACTTGTATTATTTTGTTTCTATATTTTTTATTATTATTATTTTCAAATAAGTATACTGAACATAGTGTGACTATCCTGGCGTTTCATCCACCATAGAAACCAAAATGCAAGATAAATAACATGTACATTATTTTCACAGTGCTAGTCTTATACAATTATTTNTAACATATTCTAAAACAAAGTCAGTTAGTAGGATATCTAAGCATTCCCTCCCCTTCCCCCCCCCCCAAACTCACAAATTAAAGCTTATGCCCAATTTGCTTTTACTGGTACAACACACATGTATATATCATTAAACATTATCAATTAACATTTCCTTGTTATTATTGTAGTTAACTAAAAATTATTTATTATTTATATCACCTCTCCTCTCATCAGGCCCAAAAGAGATTATACCTTTATAGAAAGCTCTAAACAAGAATTTATTAATAATATTTATAGGACTTTTCCCTAAGTCCCAAATTACTACTGTCACTTTCTAGCAGTAATGGTTATTGTGGCTTCTGGGAGGTTCAGTCCAGTGGTGGGTTGCCAATATTTTTATTACCGGTTTGGGCGTGGTCCCACATGTGCTTGGGTGTGCTCGCAACACTTCTGCGCATGCGCAGAAGTAGGTGGGTATAGCCTCCTGCCGTCATTACTACCGGTTCGTCCGAACTGGGAGCAACCCACCTCTGGTTCAGTCCTGGGCTTAAAGGGCGTCAGTAGCCTTGGCTGACAGGGTACAGATTCTCCTGCTTGAGCAGGAAGCTGGACTAGAAGACCTCCAAGGTCCCTTCCAGCTGTATTCTATTCTATTTGGTTTTCCATCCCAGAGGTGGCATTTTACCGGTTCGGACCGAATCGCCCGAACCGGTAGCGGAAATAGCAGGTGGCTCCTCCTATCCGTGTATGGGTCTGTGGCATCCCATTTAGACCCTTTTTTCATCAAAAGCGCATGTGCAGAGGTGGCTCGTGCGCTTACATTTGTGAACTGGTAGGAAAGGTAATTGTATATCACTCCTGGTCCATCCCTAACTTACAGGGAGACAGAGATTGTACAATGCTGGTGCTTGAAATACTTATGAGTTTAAGTTTTTAAAATTTTTCACATTTGTTTTGAAGCCCAACATAGGTCAACTTGGCATTCCTCATGGGCCTTCCGGGGAGAAGGTAGCTGTAGTAACTGTGGATGACTGTGATACCGCAGTGGCTGTGCGCTTTGGAAGTCTGATTGGAAACTACTCCTGCGCTGCTCAGGGAACACAGTCCGGCTCCAAAAAGTAAGATGTTGATGTTTTTTGTGAATGAATATGCAACAGAATTAATCTGGCTAACAGAGTCTTCATTACTTTTTTTTTTTTAGGTATGCCTGGAATTGATTATTGTCAGATGTAAAGTCATTTTCATATCTGTTTGTATTTAATTAAACTTTACCTTTGTGCGTTAAGGACAAAATGGTTGAGTTCAGAGAATAATCATGTAGAAATCTTTGCTAAATTGCCCCTCCTTGTGGCAAATTACCTGTTGCTGCAGATGTTTCTATTTCTTAAGCATCCTTTAATAGTCTTATAGGATAGAAAAAATCAATTTGAAGAAGAAGATGAAAAGTAAGTAAAGCCAAGTATTCACACTTTCCTTCAAAAATGTTTACTCAGGTGAGGAACGTTGTTGTTGTTGTTAGTTGCAAAGTCATGTCTGACCCATCGCGACCCCATGGACAACATTCCTCCAGGCCTTCCTGTCCTCTNTACCTAATAGAAATAATTCTGGCTTGAATTCTATACGTTGTTCAACCGTTTCATTTCGTACTATTTCATTTCAATGTCGTGACAGTATCTGTAACAGTGGGAAGGAATTATCTCTAATTTCTAACTCCCAATAATATGGTTATTGTACAAGAGATTACATTTGTACAAAAGATTACATTATCTGAGTAAAAAAAACCACTTTATTTTTTATTTCTTTAGGTCGTTGGATTTAACCGGCCCTCTTCTGCTCGGAGGTGTTCCCAATTTACCTGAAGATTTTCCTATACATAACAGGCAGTTTGTTGGTTGCATGAGGAATCTTTCTATTGACAGCAAGCCCATCGATATGGCCAGTTACATAGCCAATAATGGCACGCTTGCAGGTATAACCTCGAGGATAAAAGTGGAATAAAAAATACTTTAGGTTCTCTGAAAATTATACGAACAAAGAACTGTGTTTTCATAGGAAAGTATACAAAGAAGGAACTAAAGATGTATTTGTGGGCTAATTTCTCAAATTTACTAATTATGTTGTTCATACAGGGAATCCTCATTTAGGAACTATATTTGGGACTCAATCATTTAGCAAAGTGTTGGCTGAGTAAAAAAAACTGTGTTATTATCTTTCTTCAGCTTTCCTTTGCTTTACAGATCTCAAAGATTATAAATGCAAAGATTGGTCATGAAGTAATCTTTTCATCACCAGTGTAACTATGAAAGAAGACTACTAAGCAAGCAGTTGTTAAACAAGTTTACCTATATAAGAGAATATATTTCTATATAAGATAACATCCTATGAAAACTGTTTCTGCACAGATGTTATTTTGGAACATATTTCTTGGTAGCCTATGTCCTTGGTATATGTACATATATCAAGGACCTATAACTACATAGTGGAAATGAAAACAGCCGAGTATCAAAGTCTTTAGCCTTTGTTTTACTATAATATTAGTCTAGTTTTCCAATGCTCCCCCTTCCCAAAAGAGAAGTGTTGAGTGTTGGAGATCACAATATAAAATATGATAAGCATTGGGAATTGCTTTCTAGAAAATTAAGTTGCAGCTGTTCAAAAGCCTTGACACTGATCCAGAGCACAGCTTGTTACAACTTGAAAGCGTGATTACTGAATGACTTGAGGACAAAACTTTTTTTTTTTTGAATTGCAGGTTGCTTAGCTCAGAAAAATTATTGCACCACAAACTGGTGTCAGAATGGTGGTACCTGTGTGAGCAAATGGAATACTTACAGTTGTGATTGCCCGCTGCGATATGGGGGGAAAAACTGTGAGCAAGGTAAGCAATGGATCCCGCTTTTGATTGAGCATGTGAAATATTGCATTGTGTGTGAGCAAATTTTAATTATTATACAATAGCCTTATTTATTAAATGTGTTATAAATCCTGTCTTCACCCTCTTAAAGCAGGCATTAGCAGGAATCTAATAATCTACTGCATCTTTGTTAGTTTGGTGCTTTCCAAATATTTTGGAACTATAATTCCCAGTATGCGCGCACCGATTATTTCCATGATAGTTGGGAATTCTAGGAGTTACATATCTGAAGGGTATTAGGTTGTGGAAGTTTGGCTCATGGTATCTCTGGGTGGCAAGCCATGCCTATTACATAGCATATTCTTTATCTCCACTATATAGCAATTCATTCCATACATAGAAAATCAATCTTCAGTCTTTTTTAAGCAAAAATGCTTCAGTTTAACATGATCCCTGTCCCATTTAGTTCAATTGAATAATACTATTAGTTAATTAAGTTTAACCTTTTTCTTAATAATCACTATGGCAAGTAATTACTCAGACATAAAATAATAACTTTCTTTAGTCACTTGTACAGTGGTTTCAGAAATTATTCAGACCTCTTTTACTTTTATCAGTTTTGAGATGCTACAGCCCGATTCTACTGTACAGTGGTTGAAAATCACTTTTTTTTCTCATTAATCCACACTCCGTACTCCATAATGACAAAGTGAAAACAGAAATTTAGAAATCTCTGTACATTTATTAAAAAGAAAAAACCCTGAAATATCACGTTGGCATAAGTATTCAGACCTTTCACTCAGTACTTTGTTGAAATACCTTTGGCAGCAATTACAGCCTCGAGTCTTTTGGGATATGACGCAACAAGATTTACACACCTGGATTGGGAGATTGTCATTATGGGATACTGAGTGTAGATGTCAGGCCTAAAAGCCATCTTTTGCATTGGGCCTTCAGACCTGTCACATTTAATGCTGTGGGAAATTGGGAGGGGGGATTATATAGAGGTGGGATAGATATAGTCAAAATAACATTCCTTTCTCAGAGAGTCAAGGATATCTTGCTCTGCACCTGGAGTGGTGTGACTGGGAGGCATCTCCAGTTGAGACAGCCCCTGATTGGACCATGTGATGGACATATGGGTGCTGGGCAGGGACTTGAAGTTTCGTTTAGGTGGGGAAAACCTGGAAACACTCAGATTTGGGCCAATGTGACATCTCTAATAAAATGGAACTTTGAGGAACCTCAAGCCTTGGAGTCTTCTTTCATTGTGGGAGTTATTTGGAACCCTGACAGTAGATGAATGAGGGGCGCAAATGAATTTTTAATAAGTGCATAATCTGCCTGCGGCACAACAACATTGACAAAAGTGAAGGGGGTCTGAATACTTCCTGAATGCACTGTATATCTTAACAGAGAACAAAATCCCCATTCATACTCTTCATTGAAATTCTTTGGTTCCCATTTGGCAGCCTCAGTCTTCAGGATTTTTTCCCCATTTGTTCCCAGGTTGGGAATCTGTATTCTGTACTACATCTATGAATCTTTAGCAGATGGCAATGAATATGAGAGTGCATTTTAAAGTTCATACACATGGAAGATGCTGGCTAGGTTCCTGGAATTTCATTGTGTCCTCCTCCCGCCTGAGAATACTTCCTAGATACTGTACTGTACTTCCTAGTACCTTATTGTACTGTACAACCAACTCTCCTGTTGCAGCAGAAAATCAGGAATAAGAACAATATTTTACAATATTTACAGTGAGAATATCAGCTTTCCATCAATCTTTCTGATTTGTCTTTGCCTCCATATTTGCTTTAAAAGCAGTAGTTCCTAAATATTACACTCTACTTCTGCAAACTCCATCTACTTGATGATATTTGGGTACCGTAAGGAACAGTGCTCTGAGAACTTGAGCTACCTATTCATATTTTACTAAGTGCATTTAAGAATATAAATATGCGTGCTTTATGTTTCCAAGAAAATGTGAACATCAGATTGATGAACTGTCTTTCAGAAAACTCCTGTTCCCATTTTGTGATAGAAATTCACCTAAATCAAATTCTTAACGCGGTCCTTCTGTATAGCATAATTGTTTTTCTACAGAAATCTACTTTCAAAAACCATTTGGTTCATGCTATTGTCAAGTGTAGGTATATATTGCTAAATAGGTGAGATCAATTACTTATTTCTTGTAAGATAGATGCATGGAACAGAATGTGCATAAAGGGAAATAAGTAGTGTCAATAAAGGAGAATTTTTAACAAATGTCCAAATTGAACCAGAAGTAAAAGCATTGACGACAATTGCACATTAGGGAACAAAATATATTCATAGGATCAAAGTGTGTTCTGCCTGGGACATAGGTGGCATAGCAGCCACAAATTTGAGCTTGTCAGATCCTTTATAAATGTGTTATTTTGCTGCCCTTAGGGCCTATAAAAATAACCCTGCCAGATTCTTAATAGACAGTAATAAATAGCATGCATCCTTGCTGTTACCAGGGCCCACAAGCAAATCTTTGAGGAATTTAGAGATTTTAAATTCTCAGTTGTTTAAATATAGCAATTAGAAAAAAATAAACCCAACCTAAAATTACATAGAAAAAATAAAGAAAGCTTGAGATAAACAGAAATGGGTACTTCTCTAAAAAAGCTATCTTCTGAACAGAGAGTTCTTTTTTCTTATTTATTTTTTGCATTAGACTTACGTTAATGATGTTTGGATTCCTGCCCTACGCTAAATAAATAAATAAATTTGAATTTCTAATGAAAAGGAAGGGAGATCCCAGAAGATGAAAGTCTCCTGATTTTATTTATCCTTACTGGTACCATGTCAGAATGTTCTGATAATTGAATTTGAATTTGAATTTAATAACATTTATATGCCGCCCAATCCCGTAGGACTCCGGGCGGCTTACAATACAGAAATAAAGTCAAAAATAAAATACAGGGAAAGAAAAAATAGATTTAAAAACAACACACCATACACTCCGTTCTAGATGGGACTGGACCGTATTTTGGGGTCAACAGCCCCAGGCCTGCCAGAACAGCCAGGTTTTAGTGGCTTTCCGGAAGGCCGAGAGAGTGGGAAGGGTCCGGATCTCTGCGGGCAGATCGTTCCACAGGGCCGGGGCAGCTACAGAGAAAGCCCTCCCCCGAGTGGTCGCCAACCGGCATTGCCCGGTCGACGGTACCCGAAGGAGGCCCAGCCTGTGAGATCTTATGGGTCGTTGGGAGGTATGTGGCAGGAGGCGGTCCCGCAGATATCCAGGTTCCAAGCCATGTAGGGCTTTAAAGGTAATAACCAACCAATTTCCCCCTCATTCTAAAATATTTGATTAAGTAATACTGTTTTGTTTCCTTTTTGCCTTGTGTTATAGCAATGCCTTTTCCTCAACGTTTCACTGGGGAAAGCATCATCACCTGGAATAACCTTGATATCACTATTTCCATCCCATGGTACATTGGCCTCATGTTTAGAACTCGCAAGGTTAACGGTGTGTTAATGCAAGCTGATGCAGGAGCATCGTCTAAGATTAAGATACAGGTATGTTAGCTTATCAACTCAATCACAACAAGGTAATGTCATTAGATAAGAAATGGCAAACAGTAAAATGTCTTTGCTTAGTCATGAAGACAATTCAACAGTACAGTCTTACACTGTAAATCTCATTTACAGCTGGCTCTGGGAGGTAGTTAAAAGCAAAGCAGATTGAACAAACCTGAAATTAGTCATCTTTGAAGTTGCAGAATATCACAAAATTGTGGAGTTCACTCAGCCTATAATCAGATCAGTCTTAAGTAGGGATTGAGAAGAGTGAAATACTAGCTTTTCAGTTCCTCATTTGTTTTAGCAGAAGGAAAAATACCTTTGCCAAATCAAGACTGCTTTAAATATTAATCCATGCATATAGATCTAGAAGAGTGGCAATCTTTAATTGAGAGTGGCCACTCATGGTGGGCCTAATACTGAATATAGGTAGAATATTGGTCTACATATTAATTATCCGCTGAAAAATAAATAATAAAGTTGTCTTAAAGTATAACCTGTATTTTATAACCGAGGGAAACAATGGTTCAGTGGCTAAGACTCTGAGTTTGTCGATCAGAAGGGTCAGCAGTTCGGCAGTTCGAATCCCTAACGCCGCATAATGGAGTGAGCTCCTGTTACTTGTCCCAGCTTCTGCCAACCTAGCAGTTTGAAAGCATGTAAAAATTCAAATACAATAGGGTCCACTTTGGTGGGAAGGTAACAGCGTTCTGTGCGCCTTCAGCGTTTAGTCATGCTTGCCACCTTACCACAGAGACATCTTCAGACAGCAAGGCTCTTCGCCTTTGAAATGGAGATGAGCACTGCCCCCTAGAGTCAGGAACAACTAGCACATATGTGCGAGGGGACTCTTTACCTATACCTTTTGTTTTATAACCATTTTCCAAGAATAGCATGTCTATCTCGATGTATATACAGCATTTCCCCAGGAATTCAAGGTTTTTCATCAACTAAAGTTATGTTTCAACAGATACTGAATAAATATGTGGTATTTGAGGTCTATGATGGACAGAATCAGGTGGCCAGTTTGAAGATGACCCAGGTGAGGATCAATGATGGCGAATGGCATCATTTGCTAATAGAGTTGAAGAGTGCAAAAGATGGCAAAGACATCAAGTATCTTGCAGTTGTGTCCTTGGATTATGGCATGTATCAGGTAAGATGACATCCATAACCTTTCATTATCAAAATGAGACAGGAATGGCCGGAATATGGCAGCTGGAATTAAGCCAAAATGAAGTCATTTCTCATTGTTTCTATCATAGATTCAGAAATATATTTTTCTTTAACAGTTGTGTTACAATATGCCAGCTATTCTTAACCCTGTGCCATCCAGGTCAGTACGTTGAACTCAAGTGCATTTGCAGCTGGCGAAAATCCTGGAGGAAACAGAGTATTTAGACCTTTTTCAGTTAGATTTCAGACCAGGATTTAATACTATGACAGTTTTGGTTGCACACGCAGATGACTTGTGGGAGACCCAGGATGACTGGTGGGGCATTGTTCCTTGTGCTCCTCAATAGCAGTTTTGACGTCAACAATCACAATATCTTTCTGACCTGGCCCCTGGGCTGAGGCACCATGTTTTATGATTCTCTTCCTTTCTCCGGGGCCATTTCTGCTGGGTTAATGGGCAGAAGGAGTTTCATTCCTTTGTGGGGTGTTTCTGGGTTCTGCTTCCTCTTTCTTCCTTTTCAGCATGAATATAAAATCACAGAATGAGGCCATCTGCCAGTTTGGGCTTTAGTGTCGTCAATATGCTGATGATACCAGGTTATATGTTTCAACCTCAATATGCCAAGTGAGGCTGTCAAGATTCTACCCCAGGGCTGGAGGCTGTGAGGGTTTGGGTAGGGAAGAATTATCTCATGACTCAATCCTATACCAAGACTGAGTAGCTGTAGATATTCAGGCCACCTAGACACATCATTAGAGCTATGGTGGTGCAGTGGTTAGAATGCAGTACTGCAGGCTACTTCTTCTGACTGCCAGCTGTCTGCAATTTGGCAGATTGAATCTCACCAGGATTCAGTCTTCCATCTTTGGGAGGTCAGTAAAATGAGGACCCAGATTGTTGGGGGCAATATGCCGACTCTGTAAAACTGCTTAGAGAGGGTTATAAAAAGCACGGTGAAGTGGTATATAAGTCTAAGTGCTATTGCTATCATTAACATTGAATGAGATTGCATTTGCCAGTTTAAGTGTGTGTGTGTGTACGTGCAGTCAGAATTTCTTCCTGGAAAAATAGGATACAGCCCCATGAATAGTGATGGCAGTGGCTCAGTATGCCCACTTAACACAACAGCTTCCCAAGCAGCACTGGGGGTGGTCAGTTTGTTTCTGGGTATGATTCAAGAGGCTGCCCATAAAACCCTATAGGACCAGGTTATATGAGAGACTAGCTGTCTCCCACAATATCTGTCCAGCCAATTTAATCTGGATTTGTGGGCTCTGGATTCCTTCAATTAACGCCAGCTGTTGGGATCTCAGAAGGATGCCTATAGCGGTGCCTCCTTTGTGCAATGAGTTTACTCCCCCCACCTCAAGAATTTGACACCCTCTCCTTTGAGGGAGGTTAGTGAAGTCCCCTTTAGATTATGTGGGCTAATTTCTTTTTTGTAACTCCCTATTTTTTTTGGTCATCTCTGCCATTTTTAAAAAATATTCTGCACTATTGTTTTTTATTTCTGAACTCCGGTCGGGAGTTGTGTGGCAAACCTTTAATTAATGTCCCAAGTCCTTCAAACCTTGACTAGCAGAACAGGGGAAACCGAACTACATGGGCATCATAATTCTGTCAAGATGGATTTCGTGATATCCAAAGCCTACAGAGAGTACACTGGATTCTACTGGAAGATTTAATACTAGTTGACTTCTACCTCTTAGTGACAGAAGATTTATTCACTCATGGAGGGTTAATTACCATTTTCACTTATTTATTTTTTTTTGAAATTTTGTGGAACAGGGAAAGGCATTGTATTTTTGGCTTCCTTATCGGAAGCACAACATGGATAGCTTCTATTACCACTTTCAGACTTATTCTTGCCTTTTTTTAAAAAAAAGTTAACAGTGAAATACTGTAACTGAGAATTTACGGAAAAGCTTTAATCGTCTTTCTTATTTTCCTCTCTTTAGAGCACTGTACAGATTGGAAATCAGTTACCTGGACTAAAAATGAAAAGCATTATTGTAGGAGGCACCTCTGGAGATCTAGTCTCTGTGCAGCAGGGCTTCTATGGCTGTCTACAGGTGAAAATAGAAAATAAATAACTTTAGACGAACTATGAGAAGAATTCTAGCTTCATCAAAGACAAGAGGAGGGAGAGAGCAGAAAGAAAATGAGCAATGTTTTGTTTAAAAGTGTCTAATTGTGAGCTTAAGTGCCTAATTATGAGCTTACGTTTCTTTGATTTTAATTGAATTTATTCCGTTGGAATTGCATTCAGATGTTTTAATTACTTGGGAATGTTATTCTGTAAAACATTCAGAAGAGTCTTCTATGCAAAACACATCGATGGAAACTAAGCACTATTTTTGACATATTAAAGCAGCTTTGTCCTCTGGAAGACTCACACAGCCGCTTCAAAAAGCGTCTCCAGCTGTCTACACATGGATGTGTAAATTGCAGGGAATACATTCTGGGGCTGCCAGCAGAGTCAGTGTGCATAGAAAGAGACATGCAGAGGGTTTGGGAAAACCTTCAAAGCAACTCTGTGAACTTTTCAAAACTTTGGGGAAGGAAGCTCTGTTCATGGTTTATGAAAGAACTTTTTTTTTTAAAAAAAAAGAAATCTTTGTTGAGATTTACAGTTAACAACTTAGTTTTAAGAAAAACAAGTTTCTCATCTAATACTTCAGGTTGACTGATTTGATTTTTGGAAAGAGATACCATCTCATTAATTATACTTCAGCATGGTGTCAGCTGGGGTGGGCTTCAAAATGTTTAGCAATGGGTTCTCTGCCCGGTTGTGGGTGGGCGTGGCCAGGATAGGTGTGGCCTACTCGGCCACCTGCACCATGGCAGGGGGAGCATTTTTGCCCTCCCCAAATTTCAAAGGCTTTTATTGAGCCTTCGGGAGGGCGAAAACTGCCTCCTCAAGCTCCGGAGGCCCTCTGGAGGCGGGAAACAGGCCCGCTTCCAGCCTTCCCGAACTTCCAGTAGGCCCATTTTTCACTCTTCCCGAGCCTCTGTGCATGCCCTGCACTTACCTGCATGCAAAGCAGGCTGCGTGGGGACTCTTGGGAGGGGTGGGATGGGGGGCAGGGCCAGCAAGGAGTGGGATTTGAGGGTTCTCCAAACTGCACAGAATCTTAGCTAGAATTTGCCAGAATTTCTGAGCCAACATTTTGGTTGCTAAGCAAGAGCGTTGTTAAGTGAGTTTCACCACATTTTACAAATTGGCCACACCCACCCAGTCACATGACTGTCAAGCCACTCCCACAAAGCAGGCCACACCTACAAAAGAGGTTCTAAAAAAATTTGAAATCCACCACTGACACATGGGTGTAATTCAAGGTGCTGATGGTTTTCTTTAAAGACTTTCATGAT